GCTACTCCAGACTGCTACCAATAGGTCACTAATCAGTTCGGAGTGGGAAAGTCGAGTATTGGACTCATGTTGATGGAAGTCTGCAGGGCCATTAATCGCATCCTGATCCAAAAGACTGTGTCTCTGGGAAATGTGCATGACATTGTAGATGGCTTTGCGCAAATGGGGTTCCCTAACTGCAGAGGGGTGATAGATGGCATGCATATTCCAATTCTGGCACCAGACCACCTAGCCACCAAGTACATTAATCGCAAGGGGTATTTCTTAATGGTTCTCCAGGCGCTTGTGGATCACCGTGAGCATTTCACAGACATTAATGCAGGCTAGTCTGAAAAGGTGCCTGACACACGCATCTTTCAGAACAGTGGCCTGTTCAGGAAGCTGCAAGCAGGGACTTTCTTCCCAGACCAGGAGAACACCGTAGGGGAAGTCGAAAAGCCCGTTGTGATCCTGGGAGACCCCACCTACACCTTAATGCCATGGCTCATGAAGCCATACATGGGGCAACTTGACAGCAGCGAGGAGTGGTTCAACAACAGGCTGAGCAAGTGCAGAATGACTGTTGAGTGTGCATTTGGCTGTTTAAAGGCCCGTTGGCGCTGCCTCTATGGGAAGCTGGACCTGGCCGATGACAATATTCCTATGCTTATAGCCGCGTGCTGTACACTCCATAATATTTGTGAAGGGAAGTGTGAAAGCGTCACTCAGGGCTGGACTGTAGAGGCTCAGTACCCTGGAGGCTGAATGTGAACAGCCAGAGACCAAGGCTATTAGAGGGGCACAGTGTGGGGCCATAAGGATCAGGGATTCCTTGAGGCAGCAATTTGAAACTGAAAGCCACTAATATTTGGTGCTATGCTCGGGAGTGCAGTGCTTGTAATGCTAGGAGGTGACTGGTGCACATGATGCAATATATTGCTTTGCAGTTCTCTTTTTGCTTTCAATTAATAGAATAAAAATTGCTTTCAAACCAACACAATTCTTTTATTAAAAGACAACAACCAGAGGAGAGAGTCAAACACACACACAAAAAACCCCCATCAGCAATGAGGGGTATGGGGGAAGGGAAGTTCCCAGGAGGAGAAGGGGTCCCAGGACCAGGGCCAGCTCCAGGCACCAGCATTCCAAGCAGGTGCTTGGGGCGGCAATCTGCAAGGGGCAGCAGTCCGTGTGTTTTTGCCATCCCAAGCTGCGCGCTGAATTGTCACCGCAGACGGCGGGGGCAGTCCATGTGCTGTTAGGGCGGCACACACGTTTCTGCAGCGGTGGCAATTCGGCAGCAGCTTCTATGTTCAGCTGCCTGCGGCGGCAATTCGGCGGCTTCTGTCTTCCAGCTGAAGACAGAAGCTGCTGCTGAATTGCTGCCGCTGTGGAAACGCGCATGCTGCCCTAACGGCACATGGACTGCCCCCCCCCCCGCCGTCCGGCGGCAATTTGGCGTGCTGCTTGGGGAGGCAAAAACAGTAGAGCCGGCCCTGCCCAGGATGGCTAAAGATTTGTGTATGTCCAGGGATCATATCCATCCTTCTCCTTTGGAGTACAATGCAGCAGGTACTGTACTTTTGCAGGGCCAAATTGCAGAGGATAGGTGTTGAGTGCAGTGGGTAGTGGGAATCCACAGTGCTAGTCTGTGAGGGGGGAAAGAGTGGAATGCCACAGGTATAGACTGTAGCCAGGATGTTGATAAGAGTGTGTTGGTGGTGTGTGTGGGGTCACATGGGAAAGAGTTTTGCGACAGCGACTGCAGGGAGTGGAGGGGAGCTGCTCAGTTTGAAGAGCTAGTATCACCAGGCACGTGTCTGCTTGGCGCTCCATAACCTTTAAGAGCTGCTCCATGGCTTCATTCTGGTGTGCCACGTTCTTCTTTCGGTCCTCCTTCTCGCTGTCCCGCCACTCCTTCATTTCCTGTTTCTCAGCAGCAGAGTGCATCATAACATCACACAGAATGTCCTCCTTAGTTCTTCTTGGCCACTTTCTAATTCTGCACATCCATTCAGCCACAATAACAAAGAGGGAGGCTGGGGCTCCCAAGGTCATCTCTGAAATTTAAACACAACATTTTACAGAAGCAGTATTGTTTGCAACACAGAGAACACTGATTCAGTGATTTAAAACACAGCCAGTACTCACACACCTGTCACTAACTGGCTGACCTCAGGCAAGCACATGAGTCACAAGACCCCCAAAATGGTGAGTAGCTGCAGGGACAGGGTAAATCACACTTCCTGGACCCTGCTGTACACTGGGCACGTGGCTCTTGGGGAGACCCAGCACTGTAGGGGGGGGCCTGATAATCATTCCTGTCCCCCAGGGCCTGCTCCAGGCACCAGCCCTCCAAGCATGTGCTTGGGGCGGCACCTGGAGGGGGGC